TTTTAAGCTCGGTAATGAAATGTGAAGGTGAATTAATCAACATGACACGAGCGTGGGACAAAGAAAAATTCTGAGTCCCCGACAGGAATCGAACCCGTCCTGATCCTCACATCATGCTTCGCCATTTCTTTCTTTACTTCACCTATAAATTCACGTCCGGGATGAACCTGAAGAACTGAAGGCCACTTTAATGGTCCTCTGTAAATCCTCTGAAAAGCCTTTGAAACTTCTAAAGACTCCTTGAAAGACAATGGTTCAGCGGCCTTGAATCTGCTCGCGACATCAACGACCGTCAACGCGTACTTGTAAGTCTTCCTTCCTCTCGGGAGTCTGTCATGAGGGAGGAAAAGAAGATCGGCTTGATGAATCGAATTCGGGGATGAGACATCAAACTTCGGTCTCGGGATATTCTTTGGAACCGGGAGATAAATCTGCCAGATGGCCTGCTTCATCAGCCAGAGTCTTGCTTTATCCTCAGAAACTCCGGCCTCCTGAGCCAACGTCTTCACGGCCTCCAATCCCTTCCAGAAAACTTTGGGGCTGTGATAGATATATGATAGTCTTGTCACTCATTTTTTATTACAGGAAATGGCTCGCTGCCAATCCGATCGCCAGGGCCGAAGCTCCGACGTAAATTAACTCACCCTGGTTTTGTTGAGCACTCGGTTTGTAAAAGTCTGAAAACTGAGGCTCGTTCAAATCCATTTGATCTTGATAAGTCTGGTTGTAAAGTTTCAATGCGTAGTTCGTGTTTTCGAAATTCTGTTTCGCTTCATCTTTGATTTTGTTATTAGTGGCTTTCCAATCCAGTAACTTCGTTCTGTTTTCTTGATATTTCCGATATTCTTTTTCATATTTTTCCAATGCAAGATCGTGACGCTTCTTTTCTTTGTCAGCCTCAGATTCGCCACTCAGTACCTCGCCAAATAACTTCCTCCGACGAAAGTCGGGGCATTGATAATCGCCCCTCCGATCATTATCGCAATACTCTCCATTTTAATATTAAACAGTAATGTTAAAATGAAATCGCTCACGCTAATTCATTCTTTTCCAGTTGATTCTCAATTTCCTCTCAAATTTCTTTTTGAAGTTGATCATATCGATTTTCTTTCTCAATATGATGATCGCCGCCGCTTCAATGAATAAGCAGAAAGTGGCAAATCTCAAGGCGGAAACAGTTATATTACTCAACATTTTATTTAACTCGGTAAAATCTTTTGATCTTCGAGATATTGTTCTGTGGCGATCCAAGCCGCTACTACCACCGTGAATTTAACGTAGTTCATGAAATTCGCTGAAGGATCAGAGGTCATCGCCTCTTTGACGACTTTTTTCGCGACCCACCATATCCAGCTGCTATTCCAGTGATCGTCGCGAAATCGGTCAATGTTTTTACGAGCTTATTATCTGACATTTTAGAAGATATAATAAATATAGCTCAATTGAGTCGCTAATCCATAGGTTTTATTTTTGATGATGTTCGATCTTCGCATCGCTCGCTTCTCGCCGGAACTTCAGGCCCCTCGCTTCACTCGCACTCTCTGGCTCAATCCTTTAACGAGAGACAGCGAGTGCTGCGTCAGCTGCCACAACTCCTCTCTCTTGAGATATAGTCCCGCGAGAGAAACGACAATACTCACCGCTGTAAGAACTTGGGTGAGTGAGAATGAAGAAGAAAGAGAAGAATTTTCATTATTTCCATTATCTCTGTTATTTTCATTTTTAACATTCGAGTCAATATCAGTTCCTTTCTGACGCGCAGCTTGTAGCTTTGCATCTCTTACTTTCCTGTTGTTTTCTGCGAGTCTTTTTCCTGCCGCGACTCTCCCCGGATCCTTCCTGGGTTTCTCCTTTTCACAGTCGACGTTACTTTATTGGCTGGTTTCTTTTCAGTCGGCTCATCAATGGTTTTTAAGGGTTGTTCAACGGTTTCAGCGGGTTTTTCAACGGTTTTTACGGGTTCTTTATTTGCTTCGCGATCTATTTTATATATACTTTCAAGAAATTTCTTAAGTCCTTCAGACAAGTTCTTATCAAGTTCTTCAGAAGTATTTTCAAGTTCTTCAGACTTGACCACGTTCTTCGCGGTGAGTAAGACAGCACTCACCACTGCCATGTACTTTCCATAGTTCGGGCTCAATCTTCCAGCGATCATCGAGAATTCTTTTCTCACCATGAAATTTTCATTCAGATCTTTCAAACGTTTACCCCGATCAACGGGTAGAAAATTGGATATCAATCTGCAACTGAGTTGAAGAAAGGTATCAACCATCGCGTCACAAGTCTGTGAAATACTTCTTAACATCCTTCTCACTTAATCTCTTGACTTGATCTTGGGTGAGATCAACTCCGGTCATCTCTTTCGCCTTCCCACTGGCCACCAGGACCGCCAGCCGCTCTCTTGCTCCTGAATCGGGTTCGTTCTCAAGAATGTTCCTTACATCTTTCAAGGCTTTTTGCTCGTTCATTTCCATTTTAATACTAAAAATTAATTTCAAAAGGATGCCTGAGGGAGAAAATAGGTTTTGAATATTTCTTTTCTTTTCAACTCGGAAATCTCTTTCAACCTCTGATATTTCCTCAATCCTCCTCCGTAATTGTCAAAAATCTCTTTCATGTCCATCCGAGGAGGAGTATACAACAGGACCAAAAAGGCGATATTCTCGCGGAATGGCTTGGCGATGCTCGTCATCTGCTGAGTTATGACCCAGACACTGATTCCACTGTGTTTCGCGCTGAATGTCAAGTTCATCAACTCATTTGTCCTCTTTTTCACATCCTTTGAACTGGCGCAATCATCAAGAATGATCAGGGAATTTGTTCCCTCACGAAACTCGCTATCCTCAACCAATCATCGATTTGACCTTGATAGGGGGTTAGGACAAAGAAATCTCGGTCATCCTCGGCGAAACTCTGATACGTCATATTGAATACATAAGTCGGACAGAGAAGGATCACGTAATTAAACTTTCCTCTGAATTCGTTGCTTAGTATTTCGACCAAGTATTTGGTCTTTCCTGAGTTCCTGGGACCGACTATCAATGCGTTGAACGGAATATTATCTGGATTCATTTTAATTTATTTTTTATTCTTCTGTGGCCATGCGAAGTGTGAATTCCATCCTTCATTATCACTCTCTTGTCATCCTCCGTGCTCAGGGCAACCTTGTTGGCCGTCTCTGTGAAAATCTCATGCTTATGACATGTGATCACATTCATCTTTCTCATCTGAGGTTTTCCGTTGAACAAACAGTCTTTATAACCCTGACGTAAAATTTTCTTTTTTACAACGGCTTTCTTTACTCCTTTGCACTTCTTCTCTTCTGTTCCAGTGTGCATCTGTACAATTTAGCTCTCAATCCGACGAACTCTTCAATGATCGTCCCTGCAGCCTCGTCTTTCATCGTTCCAATGACTTTCTTGTTGCATCTTTGAATCCCACTCGGATGATCTGCTGGAAAATCGCTCGTGTCAAACTTATATTGAACGTCTGACTTGATGTCTTCATGAACATCTTCAGTTTCAATCTCGTACATCAGACTCTCGGTGTCCGTGAATATTAATTTTGCCCTGGATGCATACTTTGGTTTGACGTTGTCGTGATGAAAATCGTCCATCAACGTCTTGCTGAGTTCTAAGATACACATTCCACAATAGACCGGTTTGTTGAAGACCAGCTTCCTTCGTTTCATGTGGACGGCGACCAAGTTTTCATCGAATATCGTCAAATGCCTGAAATTCGGTCTCGCTGATAACGTTTCTGCGGACTTCCTATTATTAACGAACTTCACATCGACTTGTTTCCTGATGTTCTCCATCGTCTTCCCGAAGACGGAGTTGTTCATCAACTTGAACAAATACTTTTCGAAGCTGGTCTTCGCTCCTTTCCTTAGATCCTTGTTTTTCTCAACATAAATTTTCAACCATGGCTTCTCATCAAATCGGATCCCACGATGAATCTTTTTAAACTCCATTCCAAGCGCGAGACACGGCTTCAAATTTCGATGATGAATGACATACTTCTCATTGTGATTGGGATTTGGAATCAGCTTTTCCACTCTGTTAACCGTGACACTCTCAGGAGCCAGAGGATAATTATTGTGAAGATCGTGAAGTTCCTCAGGGTACTCCATGACCACCTCAAGGATGTAAGGAATGTTTTCCCAGTTTTCGATCTCTTTTTCAGTCATCCATTTGAATCCACCCACTGGAAGTGGTTCACACTCGCCCATCCATAAAGATTATTTGCGTCGAGATATTGAATGAATTTACTCGGTTTGCTTCAATCATAATCTTCAGCCATGTATTTATTATTGGCCCTTCCAATACGATTTGAGATCATTGAGATGCTTCCACGCGTTCCCCTTTCAAACAGAAGTAGCATGTGAACGTCTCTCAACAATTCAAGTTCTACGCCAGTCATTTTCAAAGCGACGTCCCAGGCCAAACCAGGGGCGGTGTAATACCAAGCGGGATCGAGATCATAATTTTTCAGGCAGACGTTTCTGAGTTCTTCAAACACGTCAGCGAGGAGGAGGACATCGGACATTCCACACTCTCTCAGCATGCTCGTAGTCCTCAACAGAGATGTGAGAATCAGCGAGCTTCGAATAAAACGCTTCTTTAGGAGGCAACTGACTTTCTTTAAACTTTTTGAAATCACTCATGTAATCGTAAGGATAACCTCCCTTTCTCGTGAGCAAATGAATGTTTCTTGGTTAAGCGGATATGTGTGACAATGGGTTCACATTTTGTACAAGAGACGAGATTACCGATGAGACCATCAAGGGAGGAGGCCTTGAATTTGAAGCTATCGATGAACCTGATCTCATGCTTGATTTTGACTGCTTTTCACCCCTTGTTTTCATAAGAACCTATTTCAATTTCTTTGCTGAAGCTAATGTAATTCTCCTCATTATTCGGAATGCATCTGATCTCGCCTTCGCTCTTGCCGAGATTCTTGATGAACAAATGCGAGTCATAGTTGGCCAGATTATGAAAAATCACCGGAGTGAACTTTGGCTTCTTGAATTGCAAGTTGCATATTTTATGCGCGGCTCCTCGATACTTTCCCGTGAAATGGTAGTGGTCTCTGACTTTGTCACCCAGACGTTCACCTCTGCAAATCCAACATTTTTCTACTCGGTTGAACTCAAGCGTATCTTTATGAGTTAGTTTCATCATCCTGTCGAATTCTTTGTCGATCTTCTTGATATCTCTTTCAAGCATCTCAACGAAGATCCGACTGACGTCTTCATCTTCACTCTCCGCTCTGTAGATGACAGGTTCTTGAGACCACATCTCATCGTCGAAGCAAACTATGTGGTAACAAACCCCACATGGCACGTGCTTTTGACATCGCTCCGTGAAACTCTTTTCACCATGAATTGGGTTCATGAGTGTTGATCGGTTTGACTATCGCCTCGAAATCCGCGTAGACAACGAAAGGGACTTTGATCATTCGATTATGATTCTTGAACTGTAGGTCGCCCTTTGGTATTTCAATCCTTGTCTCTTCATTGTTTGAGCAGAGGGATTCATGGTTCCTTAATCTCTCAACATCGGGAAAATGACTCAGACATCTGAGACAGAAAACGAACGATTTCTCGTGATTCGTCACTTGACTTCTGAGCAACCTGGTCATGTCTTTTATCACTACCAGGCAATAATGCGAGCACCGCGAGGGTTGCTTGCTCTTATCCTTCTCGTCGTGAATCAACGTTTTAATTTGCTTATTTGCAGAGGATAGATCGTCTGCTCTTTATAACCAAAGACATTGACTGAAATCAGTGAGTTGAGGTTTTCAAATCCACCCACCTCTTTGAGTTTCACAAGAAATTTCATGTCTCCCCAGTCGAGTCGCTCAGACTGTTCCCTGAGGAGCTTGGTGATCCTCTCAGGGTGTTTATCAACTGGATTGAAAGCCCTTGTCACGCACCATGTTTGAAGCATTGCTCGTCTTCATTCTTCAGATTGATCACCACCTTCTTGTCTTTGATCGCTTTTGGAAGTTTAAAAAAGGATAAACCTCGCAGCGGACGATAGTCGGTGAAGTGAACGTCGAGCGAGAGGACTCTCTGAAATCTCCAATTACTCCCTCTTTGATTGAAATTCTGGATCCTTTCTTCGATGTCACGAATCGTAAAGTTAAATTCTCCAGATTCATCGGTCGACGTGAGATTCTCGATTGGATAGATCCCGAAATGAGCATCCAGAATTTCAGTCCCCCCACCGAATAATTCTTGTCTCTCCATCTCGGTGTTAAAGATCAAAATCACCCTGGTCCTGCGATTCAAATTGAGGACCACTTCCCTGACCATTTGCATGAACTCCCTTTTCCCGCTTAATGACGGACCCAAAATCCTGAATTGTCTCGCGAAACCGCGAAACGCGCTTACTGTCTCAGTGACACTGAATTGATTTCTCCGGCTACTGATCTCCTTGATCATGTTGATTTTCATCTCTCGTTCCGCTTCCTCAGGATCGGTTATTTTGATCTCGGGGAGCGGAACGCTCGTCGCACTCGCTCTCTTTTTGCGCCAGCCGAGCATCTCATCGATTTCTCTGATTTCCTTCTGTTGATCACTTGGAGAATCCGTTCATTGAGGGGTGACGGCTCTCGTCGATCTGAGAATGGGAGAATCGATGTCTGGAACTTCTTTGTCCAGAATATTTGTCGCTGTTCGTATCCTGTCAATCAATTCCTGTTTTCTCAATCGACTGTGACCCTTGATTTTGAGAGACTTTGCTCTTTTTTTTTCGCAGATCAACGACTTTCTCGTTGTCCAGTTTAAAATAGAAACCAAAAATGAAACTTTTTGAAAAAAACGAAGCTTTTTGAAAAGACAATAGGCACCTTAAGATACCAGGGCGGGACGAGGTAGGACGGCTACCGGAAATGAATTAACTCAACCTCATCTCGTCGAGGACGCCATTTCGCTCGACTAGCCGTCGTATCGAAAACGTGAGTATTTTGTACCTGTTTTGCCCCAATAACTGTTCCAATTAAGAAATGGTAAGCGTGCAGCGTGCAACTATCGAGTCATATATGCACGCGGGAGGTTGCTAAGCACGAAAGAAGCGTAAGAGTCGCACGAGGCGATAGCCGAGTGCGACTCTAGCTTCTTGAATGCTTAGCAAACCTCCCAAGTGCATATATAACTCGATAGTTGCACAGTGCACGCTTACCATTTCTTTTATAACATTGAGACTTTTGAGATAGCATATACTGGAGTCTATCTTTTTGTCGAGGGTCGAGGGTCGAGGGTAATATTTTTTTTCTGAGTTTTTTCTTTTTTTTTCAAATGTCACAAATCGCAGGAGTGGTGAATCGGAGCCTTGTCAACCCCATTCACTACATTGAAGTGTGTTTGCTTTGTCATTAACATCAAACCTAATTTGGTAAAATGTTGGCGTGACTTCCTATCACACGATCAGTCGAAATTTTTGAATAAATTTTCTCAAATACATGCCGTAACTACATGTACACTGTAACTACTAGGTATTACAAAGGAAGAGCCCGGTGGAGGAAACGCTCTAAAAAGGTCTTACCGTCGCTTGCAACTGCCGGTC